GGGCGGCCTTATCGCTAAGCGATCTCTTCCAGACAACCTTTTGATGCCCTCTGCATTGGAAGGAAGTGGGAGAGACGGCGGCGTAAATTTCAATATAATTTATTACTATATACATACACAAACTAATACACATATATTTTGCAAAAGAAACACATCATTATCAAAAGTGTTGTTTATACTAGTGGTTAAGATTCCAAGACGGTGTAGGGAGTGACTCGTTAGATAACTTAAATGTACAATAAATAAATAAATAAATAAATATTTCCAACACTCACACCAATTAGCCTAGCCCCAAAGTAAGCACTGTAAGGCTTGTGTTATGGGATACTAGGGTAACGGATAGAATACATATACTTTACATATATAAGTATATTTTGTATAGAAATACATATTAAACATCCATGACTGGAGTACAAATGCTCGTGTTCACCACACAAACATCTGCCCCCACCGGGAATCGAACCCGGGACCTCTCGAGTCGGCGACGCCATGAAACCCGGCGTGCAAACCACTCGGCCACGGAGGTCGTCAAAATCGACAATGTACCATTGTCTATACATAAGAAATAAATCAATAAAGATTAAAAATCTAAAGAAAATATAACTAGAAAAAAAAAATCCACGCGGACCAGGCAGCAGACGGGACTCGAACCCGCACCCTTCGCAATCCGGGCGAATGCACTATGCACTATGCACCGCGTGGATTTTTTTCTAGTTTTTTCTAGTTATATTTTCTTTAGATTTAAACATCAAGCAGTTACATGCTTTAAAATAATAAAAATTATATCAATAAAGATTATTATTATTTATTATGAAAAGTTCGGTGGAGCCAGTGATTAGCGCGTTTGGCTGCTATCGTTGAAGTTAAGCAACTTTCATTTGATGAGTGACCAATAACTTACTACCTCGCGCTCCTCCGTGCTTTGAAAGCCACGTCAAGCCTTTATGTTCCGGCTGCATCTGCAGTCGTTAGCACCCACCAACCCGCACTGGGCCCGCGTGGTGGGTCATGGCCCAATCTCGCTAATCCATCCATAGGGAAGGCCTGTGCCCCAGCAGTGGGGACATTAATGGGCTGATGATGATGATCATGATTTATATCAATCACGCCGACAAAATTGTAGAACAAAATTTTGAATCATATTTTTTGTTAGGGTAGAGTAGGTATGGTCTTCATTTAACAGGTAGATAATCAAAAAGTATTGAACACGTATTTGTTGTGGGGCCAATATGTAATTGATTTGAAATATCGCATGACGTCACGTCTCGGTACAATTTTTATCTAAAAGTGACTACACGATCAAATCACGCACTAAATCTTTGTATTTTTTTGTTTGTTTGGAAAAAGAAAAATGAGTGTCCATTATTTTTATTTTTTTGGTAATCTAACTAACATACTAAATAAAATTTTTTTACTTCACTCCGTCATCGTCCCTATTCCTATCATTCGCTAACTGCAGTGTGTAAGCGTCTTTACGGCGAATAATCTCCTGCCTCAATTATTACTTAGCCTCTGGGTAGACAGATATCTGCTTTGAACGAAATCCAGATGATAATTTTTTTTTATCATAGCAAGCAACGATTCGACCATTGAATTGAAAATTTATATTATTACTAATGGGTGCCCGTTACACCGTCTGCTTGAAAAAAATGCTTATTTAGTTACAGGATTAACCTCGCGATCTTGGTGCTCTATATCAACTGTTTATCCCCTAAATAAAACTAGTTTTTTACGGGTTAATGCACGAAACTTTATTTATTTATTGACAAAATTAAATAAAAATTTGATTCCGACGACGTAGCCTGTAAGGGCTACGAAAGTAAATAAATAAATAAAGTTTCGTGCATTAACCCGTAAAAAACTAGTTTTATTTATTGAGTGATGTGCGTGAAAACTTAAGAAACAAATATGTTTATCCCCTGTTTTACCTCTTCAGGGGGTATGTTTTGGAAAATCCTTTCTTGGTGCACGCTTACATTATAAAAGCTATATGTGTCCCAGATTTCAGTGCAATCCGTTCAGGGGTTCGAGCTCTGCGCTGATAGAACAAACAGCCAGGAACGGTTGCCTTTTATATATATAGAAGATATTTTACTGTCCAAAAGTGTTCACTTTATGCGAATTGTTTGTCTGTCTATAAGCACAATTTTTATAAAACTAGTTTTAACGGCTGCGTAGCCACGCACAAACTTTATTTATTTATTGACGTTTCGCAGCCTTTTCAGGTCTGCATCGTCAGAACAATGTTTTTTATTTTGTTTTTTTATTTATTTTTTTTTTTTTGAAAAAGGAAATCATTATTCTGACGATGCAGACCTGAAAAGGCTGCGAAACGTCAACAAATAAATAAAGTTCGTGCATTAGCCCGTTAAAACTAGTTTTATTTAATGAGTGATGTGCGTGAAAACTTAAGAAACAAAGACAATTTTTATATTAATATTATTAAAGATATCGCATATATTTATCATCGCACTAAATATTTTTTCCCAAGCAAAGACGGTACATAATGAAACTCAATAATTAATTGTAGACTAAGTCTGTATGCCACTGTTAGCTTAATGTCTCCTTACGTAATATTACAAACTACTAGTCTCAGACAGTACTTATCTCTGTGGTTTGTGCCAACTAAATGTAAGAGACTTCTATCGGTAATAGGTATTGAATACCTCCCCAGTCCTACTCAATTCCAAACATAGTGCGTATCAGTAAAGAAAGATACTAGGTGTGTTCTTAATATCGTCAATTATAATCTGTCGTATGAAATGTTGGATTGCGTTTGACCAATAAATCAAACTCAAATAATAGTAATATATTTCAATGTATTGTTTTGTTGCATTTATGCAGTAATAGTAGCAGCATTAACTGCCCTTTTCTATAAGAACAGCATCTTTAACAATAAGACCATATTTACATATTTGTTTCTTAGGTTTTTATGCACATCATTCATTAAATAAAACTAGTTTTTACGGGTTAATGCACGAAACTTTATTTATTTATTGACGTTTCGTAGCCTTTACAGGCTTCGTCGTCAGAATAAAACTTTTATTACCATATTTACATATTCAAAAGAATCAAATTATATGACGACCTCCGTGGCCGAGTGATTTGTACGCCGGGTTTCATGGTGTCGCCGACTCGAGAGGTCCTAGGTTCGAATCCTAGTGGAGGCAGATGTTTGTGTGATGAATACGAGCATTTTTACTCCAGTCATGGATGTTTTATATATATTACTGTATAAAAATATACTTTATACATGTACAGTATATGTATTCTTTCCGTTACCCATGTATCCCATAACACAAGCCTTACAGTGCTTACTTTGGGGCTAGGCTATTTGGTGTGAGTGTTGAAAATATTTATTATTATTTATTTATTTATCAAACGGCCGCAGACGTGAAAACTAGTTCTGTGTTTAAGTTAATGCTTTTTAAAAAATAATTAAAAATCCTCTTTTCTGAGCTCTCTTGCTGTCGCAACAAACGTGACGTCATCACCTTCAATCAAACTTAAAAACAACTTGATGTCTCTTAGTGCGTAAATAATAGTCGTTAAATTTGTAATAAAATGGATTGTAAAGGGGTGTGTATTTAAATGTTAGATTAAACTAGACCTTTTATACCCTTTTCAGGTTCAACGGATTTGTTTCATTAGATTTCGTGCAAATGTTGCGCAATAATGTTTCATGACGCTTCACAGTGACGATAACTAGTGTAAAGAGTGTAAATACGTATTATAGGCTGATGAATGACAGGAATTCTGTGTGATAACAATTTCTTTGTCTTTTCTAAACTCTTCATTTGAGATTTCCACTGGGTAATTAACTATATTTAACATTTGGTTATTTATTAATGAGTCATAGCGCTCAGCATTATAATTACACAACTCCACTAACTCTGAAGCAGATTTGATGTGCTCATCAATCTGCCTCTGAGCATTAATGTATTTATTTTCCAATAACCCCATTGATTCATGCAATTCAATGATTTTAGATTGCAATTCTTTAGTATCCCGGTCATACAATATGATGTGTTGTTGTGATGTTATGACCATGCTTAATCTGTCCTTAATCCTGCTGTCCTTATGCTCCTAATCTGTCCTTAATATGCGTAATCCTGCTGATCAGATCAAAGTTTGTGTTGATGTTTGCTTCTCAATAATGCTACTGCCCGTTCGGATTTGAAAAATTACCTAAGAAATTCTCAAATAACAAAACCTCTTACAGGCTTTACTATTTCCCGGGTATATTAATCTGGCATTTTATCCCAATTCAAAGTTTCTTAGGGTTATTTTGAATTTCAAAGTCCACTCTGGGGGAGTTACGAAGCGGCCTTATTTCCGTCCGTCTTGCCAACTAATTGCTTCCATCTGTTTGGCCGCGTTGACTGTCGTAGTGCAGTTGCTTAAATGCATTTCTAGGTTTTAGGAAATTTTATTCGACTACCGCTCCGTGCTTTGTCTTTTAGGCTCTTTCTTCCCTTTAAGCCTCTCACCTTCTACCATGCCTGTCACTATCACTTGTTAGACATATCAGATTCAATTTATTTCAGTTGCGACAAGACCAAACCGCAGACTTAATCCAATCTGTCTGCGGTGTCGCAGTTTGATCTAGATACCCATAATGTATAGTATAGTGCAGGTATTCTACCTTCTTTAGAAAATATAAATGCGTAAGTCACTGCTGATTATATTCTGAAATTGAACTTAGTTTCAAGACAATTCAACATTTATAATTATTTATGCTCGATCAAACATCTCATCAGTAAATCAACTGCGTCTTACTATAAAAGAGTTGGAATATAATAACTTCGCATATTTACATCAAAGGATAAAGAAAGAAGATCTCAAAAGAAAAAGTCGGTAGGTTATAAAAACAAAGAAATATCAGGCAGAAGCAAAACAGATAACTGATTTAGACATGAAACAAAGCAAACAACATATCTCTTAAATCAATCCACACAGCCAAATAGAGGTTAAATCATCACAAATTAAAAAGAAAATAGTAGTCAGATATAATATTTAATGGTGATAAGAAACTAATGGTACAGTATTCACAATTGGAACGGTTTCGTGTACAGTAGAGCTGTGATGAGACACAGCAGAGTCGCCAGACTTGAGAGTCACTAACGGAGACGAGTGTATCAAGACTGGAGTATGCACCACAGAAGCATGGACCACATGAGTACTGCCGTGGTTTATCTGATGGTTGCTTTTCGTCACTGTCGTTTTCTGAGGAACATGGTAAGTGTGATGTATTACAGGAACGGAGTGGAGAACTGCAGTATTTTTGGTGATGACGGTTTTAGGTTGCTCTATGTGAAGAATTGGAGACGCGTGCACTACTGGAGCGGTGTGGATTACTGGCAGTGCGTGGACGTATGTGCTTCCATGGTCTACGTGTTGGCTGCTTTTGGTTATCGTAGTCTTTGATGAAAAAGGTACGTGGAGTTCTGCATCATGGCTCAGAATGATGGCAGGGGCTGCAGCAGCCAAAGCTAACATACCGGTGAATACGACCTGCAAAAGACAAGGGTGAAGTCAATAAAACTACGGCTAAGCAAAGGTCGTTAATATACCTACCCTACCTACACATGTCACAGATTCTGATGAAAATATGTAAAATTTAAAATGTGTATCGAGTTATCTCTTTGACAAATATTAGATGTAACATTTGCATAATTTACTTCAGATGTCAGTACCAAATCTGTCGATTATAATTTTTCATAACGCTCTGATAGAATCTCAAATTTTTTACAATTGCAAATATTGTTTGAGATGCAGAGCACGATGACACTTAAAGGTTGTGCAATATATTGCGATGGTTATAAAAATATGTTTTAAATAACATTTAATATCAAGTCACACTTTAAAAAATATAATATGACAGTTTTTGTTTTATAAATGTACTCTTCTAGATATAAGAATCTAAGTAATGCTGAGAAAGTTATCCCCATTTCACATAATCCGAATGGATAGTCTTAAAAGTTATTCTGTATTAAAGCTTTCCCCGATAAATCCTTAATTGTAACGATAGACTTCGCTATTCCGTATGGAGACTTACAAGTTTTTCCATTTTCAATGTCCTTTGGTCACGGCTCATAAACAACTGATGGGTAGTGGGCCCAACGGGAACTTTTTATATACGCTTGAAAATTATCGAGCGGCCCAAATTACGAAAATCTTGGGTCGCGTACTTGAGACTTTTGGTCTTATTTCGCGAATCAATATTGGTTCGACGCTTTCGTCATTCGACAACGGATGCATTGCGTTTTGTTTTGGGGCCTTGATATAATTGTAGACTTTTTTGTTACAATTATGACTGTCATAAGGTTGAATATTGTTGATTACTTAATTCATAATTAAATCACAGTAACCCGTAGTTGATTATTATGTGTAGTTATCTGTTTGATTCGATATTGATAATTACCTATGACTCGCAATATACACTGTTTTTTTATTGGGTTGTAACAACATATTCTTATAATCACAAATCAATATATCTTTATTCCAATTGGATTTTCCCTACCATTCGTTTTTGGACATATTTTTTTACTACGGAGAAAAACGAGCGAAAGAAACTCCACAACATTAAGAGTATACTTAGTAAGTGTGTATAAAGCTTTATAGCTAAATATCAACATCCCTCTTATTTCCGTTGGGACATTTCAAACAATATTATTGTATCGTTAAAATGATTGATAATTTATATTTGAACAAAATATGAAGAGATAATAATAATAAAATCATTCAATGTTTATTGGAGCAAAATGAGTGTATGGATACTCAGCTGAGTTATTTATAGAAACCAGCTTCAGGTTTTTTACTGATACCCACCATAATAATATGTTGAGGATCTCGTTGGCACAAGTGATTAGCGCGTTCGGCTGCGATCGTTGAAGTTAAGCAACTTTCGCAGTGGTCGGTCATTGGATGGGTGACCAAAAATTTACTATCTCGAGCTCCTCCGCGCTTCAGAAGACACTTTAAGCCGGTGGTCACCCACCAATCCGCACTGGGCCCGCGTGGTGGGTCATGACCCAATCTCTCTATTTCATCTATAAGGAAGGCCTGTGCCCTAGCAGTGGGGACATTAATAGGTTGGTGATGATGATGATGAATTATATGGTAAACTAGTGGCCCGCCCTCGCTTCGCTGCGGTGTAGAGCTGAAGTGTAGACTACAGTTTTTGTTCTCAGGCTTGTATTATACACAATGATATTCATCTATGATTCTTCTTATACCTGCATGCAAAGTCTCAGCCCGATCGGTTTAAAATTGACAAGAGTTTCATACAAACTTTCGTTCCCTATTTTATCCCCTTGGGGGTAGAATTGACCAAAATCCTTTCTTAGCGGATGCCTACGTCATAACATCTACCTGCATGCCAAATTTCAGCCCGATCCGTCCAGTGGTTTGAGCTGTGCGTTGATAGATCACTATGTCCGTCAGTCACCTTTGAGTTTTATACATATAAAAATATATATAGATTTGATTTCGAATTCAACACTGACCGAATTTCCAATTAAAAAAAGCTAAGATACTGATTATAGAGTAAGTGCACTAAGGTGAATCAACCCCGGCGAACTAAGTTGACTACGGACAGTAACTTAAGCTATATTAGAAGTTTTTGGCGCAATTCAGTAAGTCAGTTCAGTGACTTAATATAACATTGATTCACAGTGAATGTTCTGATGAATATTTGGTGTAGTTAAATGTTTCATGTTAATGTATAATTGAACTAGACTTGAATTCTAAAACTTACCGAGAAAGTTGACTAGCTATTTGTTGATGCAGATTAAGCTTAATTGCTGTCCTTTTCGCTTTTAATTAAAATATTGTACCTAAGTTGTTAGCAAATATTTATTAGGTAATATAAGCCTAATGAAATTCTACTTTCAGTATTTAACATATATAACATTTTTTCAGGAGAAGCGTTTAAAACTTTAGCATCGCAAAACATACAATATTTAAAGTTTTTTTTCATTTTTTTTAGATGAATAGCTAAGCAGTATAAGCTATTCATCACGTAAAAATCTTTAAATATTATATGTTATGAGATGTTAAAGTTTTAAACTCTCCTCCTGAAAAAAAAAGTTTTTGCATAAGTGACAGTGTCGCACTGGGCCGGGGGTATGTACTTAACTTTCTAAAATGTTCGTATCTCTTGGATTTGCATGGCATAATGTTATAAAGTTGTATGTAAATCTTTTAAGTTATTAAAAAATCTTACGGTCACTTGAAGAAATTTAGCGGTCTAGGTCACCTTGACCTGTTATTCAGTATACAATCAAGGAATTTAGTAAAGTTACTTTGGAAACACTCCCCGCTGATTCTAATTCAAGAATCGTTAGATTGCCGATAAGAAAGCTTGCTTCACACTATAACCACAAAATAGACAGTATAGAAGGTAATCTACACACAAAATGCGCTTGAGCAACGCACACATAGACACCGCTCACGCACACGATATCTCGGACTAATCGGAACCACTATGCGCGCAAGTTCCATCCGTTTGTGAGAGAGCGTTAGTGATTTTTTTGTACAAAAATGGAGCAACAAAACAAAGTTAATATACCAGTTCAAAAGAGGTTTGTATAAATTAACATTAGATAGTGAATTGTCGTTTTTTTAATAAGTGATATACAAATAACATTAAAATTGAAATATTTTAATTATTATTGGTTTATATTTCCGTTGTTTCTGTTTCATTATCGACAGCAAAATCAAACAACTATATTATTATACGAGTGCCACTACTACGGTAGTTTTTTTGTGCATAAGCCAAAGTTGACAATCCTAGCGCGACCGTCGAGCGTAAGTATGTAAAGTGAAGTAAATGCATGAGTTTACCTTCTGTGCTCCCTATTTTGTGTTATAACGTTTTATTGTAACAAAGTCTTCGACAAACTTATACGACGCAATAGCAATCAATGATCTCTCGATAGCTTACAAAAGTTGGAAACTTCCATTTTTCTTTTATAGATAAAAATTGCCAATTTATGTGAAAATTGAGCTTCCCTTTGGTCTTTTTATTCATCATCGAGGTGTTAGAATTTCATAAAATAGGTCTATCTTGTGTAGTTCATAATGAAGTGCATATTGGGTCATTGTAGTAGGTCATAGAATATCCAAAATCACCATTTTTCTTGATGAATTCTAATATCAACTTACAGCAAATGTGGCATCACTTATGTATGCCAATGGGGAATGAGGTGGATATGTTAATACATATAATCTCTTATCTATTAGACAAGTCCGTCTGTCTGTGGTGCTGTTTCAGCGGCCAAACCGTAAGAGATAGATAAAGAGAATATTTAAGTTATAAGTTAAGAATAGTCTGATAAGACTACAAACCAGATTTGAGTAACGTAGCACTTCCGGTTTTCGAGAAATCAGGTTTTGGTGAACATTTGGTTCACTGGTTTGCTAGTATCTATATATATCTATCTTGTGCGACGAAGCTTGGTACTGAATGCGCTAAAATTGGCGTTCGAAATTCGAAATCAGTTCTATTGTCATGAATTATTATCGAGCTGGGTGTCTATAGACGCTAGACGATGGCTCGACTGGCGATTTTTGTCACGCATAAAAGACGTTATGGCATACTATATATTTTTATGTGCAGCAGTAATTCAACTATCGAACGCTATATTTATTTATTTATTTATTAGAAACAAACGGTCATACATATAAATGTGAAAATATTGTAATTTTATATCACTACAGACCTATAGTATCCTTAACTAGAAATAGCACTGTACTGCTAAAACCCAGCAAATCGAAACGAGCTAACAATACAAATCCTATAATTTCATTAGCAGCTATGAAATATTATGATTTCAGTACAAATTGGTCTTTCGCTACTACCATTATAGTTCAAAAATTATATTCAAACAAATATACAAACTGAAATTCAACATAATATTTACAATCTCAAGGGCCACTTAGACTGAACGAAAACTGAAACAAAATACCTATCTAACAATGTTCTAGTATTACCTACTAGACGAAACCTTTGGGAAATCAAAATAAGCATTTAAGTTCCAAGGACTTACGAATTGATTACAACTTCAGCGAGGTTATCTAGGTAACTAATAATGACGTACATCACTTATAGTTAAAAACTATAATTTTATAAGAATTGTCTAGGATTAGTGTCGTCGCACACGGGCCACCGACCACAACCACAAAACGCCGCCACCGACATATTTCTTGTAGGTTTCGTACATTTTATATGGACTCGCCACACACGGTACGCCGGTGGCCACCACACGCTACAAGTCGTCGTAGCTCGCTTCTTGTGGCCCGCACCGGCCACTTAATGCGCCGATACAAAACGCCGCCACACGTCACTCTCGCGATTCCCCACCTCTCTCTTCCTTACCTTAGTCGGCCGCTGTCGCGCGCTTCAGCCACTTTAGTAGCCGCTTCTAGCTTCTCGTGGCGGCGTTTGTGGCTGTGGCGTGTGGCCCGTGTGCGGCGACACTTAGTTGAAGAAAGGGGTAACAATATTTTTAAGGCTACTAAAACATAGCTATTCCGTTAGAGGTTAATATTGTTTTTAGCTAGTTTTTCGACATGGCAAGTTTTGAATACACGTGTCGTCCTTTTCTTCGCAAGCCTCCATGCGGGCGTCTAAAAATGTTTGTCCTATTTTCTCCAATTCTATGGGGGTACACCATAAAGTTACCATTTATCACAAAATATTCCAACATAAAATTAAAACTTGAAAAGTGAAAGGCAATTTCATACCTTCATACATGAATATTAATAAAGAATATTTATGAAACTAAATTGTTCACCGAAAAGGTTCCGTCGCAAAAAAAAAATTGAGAGCCGCCCGTGTAATGGGTGGCATTAAAGAGAGTGGCGATTAAGCTAATTGTATCATAAAATGAAGAGCTTTTATTGAGCCGTGTTTTGATCGAGTAAAAGCGTAAACAAATTAGTGACTTATTAATACGCATTGACTTAAGAACATGTTTTTCATCAATAGCACATCGGAAGATATCTTGACTTTTTCTTCACTTAACACGTAGGCTATCACTAAGAAACTGTTTGCTATTTCGTTGGAAAAGGTAGTCCAAACTGTGGCTTTATG